GCCTCCTCCAGTGTTCAGAGTGAGGCTTCAAGTTGAAGTATTTACTGAAGGATTTACTGAAACACTAAAACATTCACAGTAAAGCACATTACAGGCTTCAAATGTCAGAGTTTAAACTAGAGCTGCCATCAGTGTTTTACCCAATGTGGGAAAGGTAATGTACACCACCGTTAGCTTGGCATTTGTCTTTACTTTACGCTCTCCAAGCTGGGACTGACTTCTTTGGCACTGACATTATAACATGTTATCAACACTACTTATAATGCATTATATTAACAATTCATAATGTATAATAAACATGGCTATAAAGTGTAATTCAGTGTAATTCTTTTTTATAAATATGTATGACCACATTTATAATGCCTTATGAATGCATTATAACATGTTATAAATGTGTTTATAGATGCTTACAAATGCGACATTCATAGAACGTGTTGCCATAAATTGTAACCCGAACATGTTTTTCAGTGGAATATATCTGTAAACGCTAGGGACACAAAAATGGACGTTTCTGTAGAAACGACCCAGACATGTTAGAGAGTTGTTTCCAAGGGGCAAGATGACACTCGAAAACGTGGGGTATGGGTAAAAATAAGAAATGGGATTGGGCCTAAACTTCTCCTTTCTTGGGTCAAGAGGTTTCTGGTTTACAGACAAGTGGGCCCACAGTCTGTTAATGATTCTAGACTTCAAACAGCTCCTACGGAAGTTTCTTGTGCAAACTTCTAGACCCTGTAGAGATCATCAAAAACGTCCACCGTCAGCAAAAGCACATGGATCAGTGAGTTTCTAATGTTGAGGAAGCTCCAGTAATAACTGAGCAGAGTCTTAATCACAGAGAGAGGGTTCCCCAGTGAGCAGAACGTCTGAGGAACCGCTCGTCTCAATGTGGGTCTGTGTTAGCCTTAGCTGCTAAACCTTTGGGAGCAGGATCAAAGGTTGCGGTCTGCCGTTGTACACTGCCCCTCTGGACATGGAGCAGTTTCTCTAATTGGGAAAGCGCACGTAAAAACGTTGGGTGGGGGGGGGCTGTTAATTACATCGTGAAAGTTAATTAGTCCAGCTGCTCGGCATGGCCCGTCCTCTCTGAGCTGGACATAATTTATCTGTGCAAGAGAGACTTTTATGGGCCCCATTGTTCTTGGTTGAGGTTGTTAAAGACTGTTTCGTGATCCTAATTGGTGGGTTATAAGCTTCTAGTACTTTGTTAGCTGTAGTAGCCTTGGAGCTCCAGTGTGGAACTATAGAACAGGCATAACATTCTGACCACCTCCTTGTTTCTACACTCATTGTCCATTTTATCAGCTCCACTTACTATATAGGTGCACTTTGTAGTTCTACAGTTACAGACTGTAGTCCATCTGTTTCTCTGATACTTTGTTAGCCCCCTTTTACCCTGTTCTTCAGTGGTCAGGACCCCCATGGACCCTCACAGAGCAGGTACTATTTGGGTGGTGGATCATTCTCAGCACTGCAGTAACACTGACGTGGTGGTGATGTGTTAGTGTGTGTTGTGCTGGTCTGAGTGGATCAGACACAGCAGTGCTGCTGGAGTTTGTAAACACCTCAGTGTCACTGCTGGACTGAGAATAGTCCACCAACCAAAAATATCCAGCCAACAGCGTCCTGTGGGCAGCGTCCTATGACCACTGATGAAGGACTAGAGGATGACCAACACAAACTGTGCAGCAGCAGATGAGCTATCGTCTCTGACTTTACATCTACAAGGTGGACTGACAAGGTAATAGAGTGGACAGTGAGTGGACACAGTGTTTAAAAACTCCAGCAGCACTGCTGTGTCTGATCCACTTGTGCCAGCACAACACACACTAACACACCACCACCATGTCAGTGTTACTGCAGTGCTGAGAATGATCCACCACCCAAATAGTACCTGCTCTGTGAGGGTCCATGGGGGTCCTGACCACTGAAGAACAGGGTAAAAGGGGGCTAACAAAGTATCAGAGAAACAGATGGACTACAGTCTGTAACTGTAGAACTACAAAGTGCACCTATATAGTAAGTGGAGCTGATAAAATGGACAATGAGTGTAGAAACAAGGAGGTGGTCATAACGTGCCTGATCGGTGTATAGGAGTGTATCTTGGATGATGGATTAGGTTTGGTGTAAGGGGAAAATTGCCAGACTACTCCTTTAATAGTTGGGCAGCGTTAAAGAGGCACGGCTCCAGAATTACGTTGTACAGCATTTGCTCCACAAACATCTGTCTGTAATTTAACTAAGGAGCTTTAACTGGGATTGTAATCAGAAGAGTGTGCTTTAAGTGTCTTTTCATGGTGTTGGGCAAGTCGTATAGAAAAGCTACGGCTTGTACCTTATCAAAGCGCGTCTTAAGGCTTGATAGTAGGCCTATCGGTGGCGGTTAAAAGGGACCAGTCGTGCTGTCAAAGAGCATTGATCAGTTTTCCAGCCCTCTAAATAAACATTTAGAACAGTATTCATGACATTTTGAGGTATTTATGTAAAGATGTAAAGTTTTTTATTGATTTTTTTATTAGAGAAAAAGCAAACTTACTTGTGTTATCTGTTTAAACACTTCTTTGTGTCATATTTTAACACACTGTTTATTAAAAATAACAAAATGTGTTATCGGTAATTTAGCACAGAAATTTTTCAGCATATTTTGTGTTAAAAGTAACAAAGTGTTTTGTATCTGACTGAACACACGATGTGTTGTTTAACACATCTGTTTTATTGAGAGTGTAAAAAGCTTTATTCCTACATCTCCCAGAGTTCACTTTGGGCATACAGCTGGTGGGGGCATGGCTATATTAACACTGCACGGCAGGGCTATTGGTATTAACACTGCTTGGCATGACCACGCCCTTGTCCATAAGGGTCATTTAGCTCTGCAGCTCCGTAAAGATCTTCGGAATCTGTGGAATTAATAAAAGTTTTTATTTTGTAGAGTCAGTCTTTGTGCCGACGTGCTGAATGAATAAAGCCGTACTTTATCACACATTGCTGAAAGACTGTAAAAGGATTAAACAGTTTAAAATGTTGCTGTCGCTATAAATCATCTGAACTGCGTTTGTATTGAGAGACATTCATGTGTTCAAAGCACTTCAAGTTTGAACAGCATTAAATCCAACTGAACTGCATCCATGGACACTCGGCAGGAACAGCAAACCCGAGTTAGGGAAGTTTAAAGTAGGCTGGTTGTAATAACAGCAGCGTTAGCTTATGAATGTAAAATGAATGATTCAGCTAAGCTTCACAGTCGCTTAGCTAACTTTAAGTTAGCAGATCACGCTACAGATCCAAACACGACAGAGCAGGTGGAATTTCACATTTCTATCACTCCCTTGAGTTATTATCGTCTAAACCTGTGTCGGTGCTTTAGTTACACCAGGGGTCGGCAACATGTGGCTCTGTTACTTCCTTGTTGCGACTCCACAACAGAATGTCTTCAAGGTATCAGAAAATTTGTGGCAGTGTTATTTTTACGGTATCAGTAAATTTAAGGTGTCAGTGATTTAAGGTAGCAGTGAATTTAACGTGGCAGTGGACTTAAGGTATTAGTAAATTTAAGGTGGCAGTGGACTTAAGGAATTAGTAAATTTAAGGTGACAGTAAATTTAAGGTGGCAGTGTATTTAAGGTAGCAGTAAATTTAAGGTGGCAGTGAATTTAACGTGGCAGTGGACTTAAGGTATTAGTAAATTTAAGGTGGCAGTGTATTCCAAGTAACAGTAAATTTAAAGTGCCAGTGTATTTAAGGTAGCAGTGAAGTCAAGATGGCAGTGGTTTTAAAGTATCCGTGGATTTAAGGTAACAGTGTGTTTTAATAGCATAGCAACCACCTGGCAACACTTTACCAACCAGCCTAAATACCATAGCAACCACCTAGCAACATCTAAGCAACACTTCAACCATCAACCACCATTTTAATATTTAAATGTAATTAGTTGGCTTTTTCAAAACAACTTAGTTCGTTTAAAAACTTTACCTTATAAGTTCTAATATACAATTTTAGATTACTGATTAATAATTAATACTCTTCTTAATTATATTGTTATATATCAATCTTAGTTTAGTTTTTTTTATTTACTTTTAATGTAAAGATAATTGTTGCAGTGCTTTGAAAATACAAATGTAAATTTGTCAGTAAAGCAAACTTAACTGAACTACAAAACACAGTCAGTAGCACTGCTGAGCGGTGTAGTACGTATATTAAGGCACTGTGCGGTTTTGAACACAGCCGTGCTGATTGTGGGCAGTGCCACTTCTTGGCCGAGACTAATAAAATACCGGAGCGGATGCTAATTGGTCATTTGACGCCTACGGTCCAGCGCTGAATAGACTCAGCTGGGCGAGTCGAGTCTAGATCGCCTCTGTTAGTCACTCTCAACACCCAGAATAGAACAGGACTAAAGGCAGAATAGAGGCTGTTCAGATAGACGGTGAGTCACGAAGCGCATAATCACGCCGAAAGGCATTTATTTGTTTAAGCGAAGTTTTTTGTGAAACTGTAATGCTGATTAGCTGCGGCCTGATTTGATTAGTGCAGCTCAGCTGTTCGCTTGATTGGCTCACGGTTTTGGATAATTAGCTGTGATTTGAATGGCGTTCGCTGTCCAGGCAGCAGAGGGAGGAGTGATTAACGTGATTTACGATTCCTCAGATCATGATTTATAAGACCTGTTCTCCGCTGACCGCTTTGAATCGGTTCCGTACTTTCATTTGTTGTTTTTCTATAAGTGTAGTGCTAAAAAATGGTGCTAGAACCGAGTTCGGATGGTTTGAGGCTCTGATTTATAGAGAAAACTGTTTTGCCAGAATTACAGCACTTTCTTTATTACGCGTTCTCCCTGGTTCCTCTCTCTCTGTCCTCTGCCAGACGATTAGCTGCATAGCAGGTGCTGAACTCTGGGATTCAGTTTTTTTCTTTTTCCCTCTCTCTTCTCTCTCTTTCTCTTTGAACACGTCTTTTTTTTGTATATTTTCTAACTCTACACTTTCCTGTGTTTCTGTCCTCAGGCCTTGGACCAGGACAGGACTTCACTGCAGAAGGTCAAGAAGTCGGTTAAAGCCATCTACAACTCTGGGCAAGGTAAATAAACACAGACACTCTCTCACAGTGTCTCTCTCTCCCCCCCTCTCTCTCTCTCTCTCTCTCTCTCTCACTCTCTCTATCTTCTCTCACTCTCTCTTGTCTCTCTCTCTCTCTCTCTCTCCCTCCCTCCTCCTCCCCCGCTCTATCTCCCTATCTCTCTATCTCTCTATCTCCCTCTGTCTCTCTCTCTGTCTCTCTCTCCCCTCCCTCCCTCCCTCCCTCGCTCTCTCCCTCCCCCTCGCTCTCCCCCTCCCTCCCTCTCCCCCCCCCTCTCTCTCTCTCTCTCTCTCTCTCTCGCTCTCTCTCGCTCTCTTTATCTTTCTTTGTCTCTCTCTTTCTCTGTCTCTCTCTCCGTCTCTCTCTCTCTCCCTCCCTCCCTCGCTCCCTATCTCTCTATCTCTCTATCTCCCTCTGTCTCTCTCTCCGTCTCTCTCTCTCTCCCTCCCTCCCTCGCTCTCTCCCTCCCTCGCTCTCTCCTCTCTCTCTCTCTCTCTCGTCTCTCTTTTTCTCTCCCTCCCTCGCTCTCTCCCTCCCTCGCTCTCTCTCCCCCCCCCTCCCTCCCTCGCTCTCTCTTTTTCTCTCCCTCCCCTCCCTCTCTCGCCCTCCCTCTCCTTCTCCCTCCCTCCCCATCCCCCCTCTCCCTTCTTCTCCCCCCCTCCCTTCTTCTCCCCATCCCCTCTCCCCCCTCCTTCCCTCTCCCTCTCTCTCCCTCTTCATCTCTCTCTCTCCCTCTCTCTCTCTCTCCCTCTCTCTTTAGAATTAATAATAGTAATAATGCTAATAGTCATATTAAAATAATAACAACAATACTATCAAAACAAACGAATAAATAAAATAAGACAACACATAATAATAAATAAAACGTTATAACAGACAGTGCATTACAACTTATATACAGTGAGGGGTTTGGAGGGGTCAGTGAGGTCAGGGTGTGGAGTGTGTTACTGTCCCTCAGGCGGTGACTTGTTGGCACATATTTTGCAGTGAGAGATGCTGTCTGTCCTTCTCCACAGAAAATTGGAAAATTGAATTCCAAAACTGGAGAGAATGTTCTTCAATTCTGTTATGAAATTTTCTTGTGCCAATTTCTCTCTCTCTCTCTCTCTCTCTCTCTCTCTCTGTCTCTCTCTGTCTCTGTCTCTCTCTCTCTCTCTCCCTCTCTCTCTCTCTCTCTGTCTCTCTCTGTCTCTGTCTCTGTCTCTCTCTCTCTCTCTCCCTCTCTCTCTCTCTCTCTCTGCTTCTCTCTGTCTCTGTCTCTGTCTCTCTCTCTCTCTCTCCCTCTCTCTCTCTCTCTGTCTCTCTCTGTCTCTCTCTGTCTCTGTCTCTGTCTCTGTCTCTCTCTCTCTCTCTCTCCTCTCTCTCTCTCTCTCTCTGCCTCTCTCTTTCTCTGTCTCTGTCTCTGTCTCTCTCTCTCTCTCTCTCTCTCTCTCTCTCTCTCTCTCTGTCTCTCTCTGTCTCTGTCTCTCTCTCTCTCTTTGTCTCTGTCTCTCTCTCTCTCTCTCCCTCTCTCTCTCTCTCTGTGTCTCTCTCCCTCTCTCTCTCTCTCTGTCTCTCTCTCTCTCTGCCTCTGTCTCTCTGTCTCTCTCCCGCTCTGTCTCTCCCTTACACACCTATGTTAGCTGTATGTGCTCAGTCTTAGTCGTGACTCCAGACTAAAGCACAGTTCCTGTACTTGCGTATAAAAGTTTAGACTCAGTGGACTCACAGTGGCCGTAACGTCATGGTTTTTTCGGAGCAGATGTGAACACATCAAACAAACTCGGACCCCCTCTAAACAGCCCCCAAAACGAATCACACTCAGACCACATCTCAAGGTGGTCTCAGTACGGTTTGTTTGCTGTTCATTTTGTGATCAGTTTAATTTGTGCATTGTCAAAACAAAGTAGTCTGCTTGGGTTTTGCTTTACGGTTACAGAACAGACTCCAGTGGCTTGTTGATTTTATAAAACGGCAACAAACATTATAATATAATATAATAAATACAGTGTTTACAGTACTTTACAGTGGGCTCGAATGTGGCTCATTCTAAAAGAGTTTGGAGTAAACAAGAAGTGGTCTGAGATCTCATCTGTGCTAAAGAGGACCAGAAGGAGAACATAATGCCCTTTAAAGTTTGCTTGCATTGTAGAAACAAAACCCACTGAGTTTATTTGCAGCTCGTTCCCTTTCAGGTTTCACATAGAGTTCTTTCTAAATGAACCAAACTCAGAGCTGTTAACAGAGAACCTGAAGGGAAACCAGCTGCAAATGACCTCGTTTTGTGCTCACAGTAGCCACGTTTACATGCAGCCTGATAATCTGTTAATAATCGGACTAATAGCTCAATCAGAATAGAATACATCCATGTAAACACCTCAATCAGAATAGTCTAGACCGATTGAAGGCATTCTGAATACAATTCCTATCCGATTGAAAGAGGTGGGTAATCCTGTAAATAATCCGTTAAATAGAAGAATAATATCGTGTAAACGCCTGTATCTGATTACATTCCCTATCGGAAAGTTTAGGTCCGTTCTGATCGTGTTCGTCACGTCATAGTGAAAGTTTATACCGTTCAACATGGCGGAGCAGAAACTGGTCTGCAGAGGAGACGAAGTTTATGCTCTGATCTTTAAAAGACGGCGGTGGGACGGACGTCCAGCTTATGTGTCTCAGAACACGACGTCTTCCTCTCGGCCTTCTTTAATAAGGACATGTGAAGGACGTTTTCCTGAGTCTGACATCATTTTAAAGTGATTAAAACACAAGCACTGCTCACTGCTGCTCATCTCACTCTGACTGGACTCACACGATGCTCGTTGTCATGGTAACGTCCTCACTAAATGGTTCTCCACGCATGCACATCATTTTGGATCTGATTACTTGTAGTGAGCATGAAAACTGAGATTTTCCATCAGATTGTTGAGTAGACTGAGAATATAAACACCTCAGTCTGGATCTATAATCGGAATGTATTCAATCAGATTGGCAAAAGTCTTTGCATGTAAACACAGCCAGTGTAAGCAATCTTTACAGAGGACGCTCTTTCTGGTCCTTTTTAGCACTCGAGCCCATGATAAAGAACTCAAACAGTGAGAAAAAGCATTAAACGGTCCAGGTGTGAAAACGCCCTAACAGAACTGAGTTTAGAGAAGAGCTACGTGAGAAAAACACAGACACAAAACCCTTAGATCAGACTTAGAAGATGTAAAGATTAAAATGTCATGACGGTTTGTCACATACTAATTTTTGCTGTGTATGCTGCATTTATAACAGCTTATGTAGCATATGATCTCTGCCATGACATGTTTATAGCACGTTATGTCAGTGTCACATAGCCGGGTTCAAGTAAAGTCTTAACAAATGCTACACATCCTTTCAGACCCACAGCGCTGAGTCGTCTTCTCACAGATGGACAGAAACACCTGTGGATGTTTTCAGATCTGAAGCAGCTTGATTTTCTCCTCTCTCTCAGAGATGAAAGCTTTAAGTGCTGTTTATCTGATTTTTATCTGAATTTTTTTCAACTCTAATTTTGAAAATTCCTGTTTCTTCAAAATTTTTCCTTAGACTTTTCCCTTCCTTATGAAAATGGATTATCTTATATCTAATGTCCTCAGAAATATCCCTTAAAATATGAACTTCTGACCAAGTTTTGACTGTAAATCAGTGAAGTTTGGTCTCAGTACACTGTTAGTAATAAAGGTTCTGTACAGGTACGTTTTCCATTCATCAGTGTAAATGTTCCCTCAAAGCTCCAACAGTGGTTCTAAGGTCTGATTGTGAACCTTAAATAAGTTTTTCCAGGTGAAAAGTTGGTATTTGTACCTTTTCATAACCGAATGTTTCAAACAGAACAGTAAAATAAAAGCCTGGAGGCGAGACGGGGTGTGTGGAGCCAGTACAGTCGATTATGGTTCAGTTATGTTCCCTGACTAAAGGTACTGAGATGGACCCCTAAGGGTTCCACCCCAGTGACAAGAGGAGCACTGCCCCAGTGACAGTTCGGTACCTTTATTTCTGAGTTTACTTGCACAGGACTATCTTTGGCAAACATTGTGATGTTGAGTTTTGTCAGTACTCCTCAGTGCTAGTCTGACTGCAGTGCTCGAAAGCATTGGAATCAAAAGCTTTTGTTGCCTCATGAATCTCAAGGCATCTGCAGGGAATCATCTTCAACAATAAATGTGTGCAATAAAGCTGATTGCGGCTAAAGGAGCGCATTACAGTCCATTTCTAAAGGATCTTACATTGTGGTTCTCTGCCACCCCCTCACCAACCTACACAGCTCCTCTCTCCCACTTTAAAACACACACAGCACGTTACTGCAGTTTACATGTTGAGATGGAGGAGTTGGTGATCTGCAGTCTTTTTATGGTCAAATCACTGTATAAAAACAGTGGGATACATTTATCTTTCACTAGAGGTGGGTAATCCGATAATAATCCGACTAATAGCTCAATCGGAATAGAATACGTCCATGTAAACACCTCAATCGGAATAGACTAGCCTGATTGAGGCCATTCGGAATACAATATCTATCCGATTGATCGAGGTGGGTAATCCTGTAAATAATCCGTTAAATAGAAGAATAATATCCGTGTAAACACCTGTACCTGATTACGTTCCCTATCGGAAAGTTTAAGTCCGTTCTGATCATGTTCGTCACGTCATAGTGAAAGTTTATACCGTTCAACATGGCGGAGCAGAAACTGGTCTGCAGAGGAGACGAAGTTTATGCTCTGATCTTTAAAAGACGGCGGTGGGACGGACGTCCAGTTTATGTGTCTCAGAACACGACGTCTTCCTCTCGGCCTTCTTTAATAAGGACATGTGAAGGACGTTTTCCTGAGTCTGACCTCATTTTAAAGTAACTAAAAACACAAGCACTGCTCACTGCTGCTCATCTCACTCTGACTGGACTCACACGATGCTCGTTGTCATGGTAACGTCCTCACTAAATGGTTCTCCACGCATGCACATCATTTTGGATCTGATTACTTGTAGTGAGCATGAAAACTAATATTTTCCATCAGATTGTTGAGTAGAGTGAGAATAAACACCTCAGTATTAATCCATAATCGGAATGTATTCAGTCGGATTGGCAAAAATCTTTGCATGTAAATACAGACGCTGTTGTAACTGTCCCACGTTTTAAGGTATTTTAGTTCAAAATGATTTTAATACACAGATTTATGGAACTGTGAAAATGCTAGAACAGTTTTGATCAGGAAGAGGTTACCCATCGGAAATCCAGTATCACTGATAATCTCTCAACATCTTTATGGTACTTGATCGAGCCTCTGCTGGCAAACCACATTTACACCACAGAATCTTTAATGCAAACTCTTTGCAGTTGCTCTGGTGTAAATAAACTCTCTAACCACCTCCACTCTACCTGCAACTGATTTATTTATTCTTTATTTTATTTTTACCATTATTGTCTTATTTTCATTATTTTATTATTTATTTGTTTGTTTATTTATTATTATTCATATTCGTATTATAATTATGATTATTTTATTATTATTTTAGTCATTTTAACACATTTTTAGTTTACTTTTTTTCTTTTTTTGATCTTATTCTCCTTTCATTTTATTTTATTTTGATTTGATTTTATTTACTTTGACATTTTAGCTACGTTTTAATTATGGTTTTATGTTTTTTACTGTATTTTTATATATTTTTATTATTAATGTTTCATTTCAGTTATAGTGAGCTGTGCTGCCGGTCGCTGCGTAAAACAAAAGAAACAGATGGTTAAACAGAAGTTAAGATGCTGTGGGGTTTGTCTTAAAGTTAGGACAAAATTTAGGAAATTCTGTCAAGTTAGGATGTTTGTGTGATGCTGTTTTCTTATCTGGAGTTCATGATGAGATTATGAAGTTAGTAACTGTTATTCTGGAATAGCTTCTGTCCTAAATTCAGTCTGTACTGAAGTTGTCATGGTTACTAAGCAGGTAGGATAAGATTTTAGACCTAAGAATTTCTGTAATACAGCCCCTGGCTTCTAACTCACTCACTCACTCTAGTCTAGCAGGCTGAAACTAGGGGGTGCTGTTACCACTCAAGTAGAGTGGTGTTAACTTGTTTATCACAAAGCTATTGTAAAGCAATTAGGGCTGCAACAAATATTCAATAAAATGCCATAATTTGATAATTGAAATATTAGAAAATGAATAAGCTGCTTGAATAGTCGATAGTTTTGCCTGTTTTTATAAAAGCACATGCTTTAGTGCAGTGATTTTACCCATCCGACAGGAAAAAAGTTTTATTCTCAAGCTAAATAGAAGTCAGCAGTAGCATACACTCTTAAAAAAAGATGGTTCTTCAAGGGTTTTTTATTAAAGAAAATTTCATCTTTGCAACCAGCCAGTAAACTCACAGAATAAGATGAGACGTAAACGTAACGCAAACGCAAACTTTTAAAAAAACAAAAAAAAAGTTGAGCCAAAAGTTTACAAAAACCTCATTACTTGACCCCGTTAGTGAGCGGAGTCGACAGAGGCAGAGGGCAGAACCGGAAGTGTGACAGCTGGGCTTCTAAGAGGTCATGAGCATCGAGGGCGAGAGAACGCTCGAGATTTTTGAGAAGAGCAATAGGCTCGAAACTCGAGAGGGATACAGAAAATTCCCAGTTTATTTAGAGTGACCTGCGAGTAGCAGAGTGAACTCAAGACTGAGCAGCGAGCAGCATGTGAGCACTCCTTGAGTAGAGTGCTCAGCTGCAACTGTTCAGCTCTAATTGCTCAGGTCCTGTCTAGTAGGCCTTGTAGGTTGCCTGGACGTTACAGAGCCAAGACAACAGTACAGAAGGATAATCCAAAAACGAGAAATGATACAGGGAGAAAAAGATAAACACAGAAAGATCAGTAAAGATAAAGAAGGCTCGGTATTCATCTGACAAGGTTGGCAATGCTTCACAAAGATGGTGACAAAACAGACAGGTTTGTATAGCAAGTAAGAAATGAATATCAGGTGTAAACAGTTCGGATCTTGTCCATGATGGGTTGAGTTTGTGACGCGAGTGTCCAGAGAATAATGGTGATTGTAGTGAGCGGAGTGGCCGGAGGCAGAGCGGAGGCTCTGAAGCGCATGAGCTGCTGTTAACCGTATGTGTCTCTTTGTTTATGTAGATCACCTTCAGAATGAGGAGACGTACGCTCAGGCACTGGATAAGTTTGGCAGTAACTTCATCAGCCGGGACAACCCTGATCTGGGAACAGCGTTCGTTAAGTTCTCCACCCTGACCAAGGAGCTGTCCGCACTGCTCAAGAACCTGGTGAGGAGAACCTCCACACTATCACAACTGATGAATAACATACTCACACATGTATTGATTTCTTTCCTCTGGTGTTCAGGGAGAGGCGGATATCCTATCAAATGTTCTTTTTTTTATGATTATTTATTGAACTTTCGAGCTGTTGTAAAGTGTGTGTGTGTGTGTGTGTTAGAGTATGTATTTAGATCATTGTGGGGACCAAATGTCCCTTCAGCTGACGAAAAACATTTTGCTGGTCCGTGCCACTACTTTTGCTGAGTATTGAAATACAGTGCTTTTATTTTATGGAACAAATTACTTCAATTTTACAGGCTATCAAAAAAAATCTGTCATCCAAATTTCAGTACCTAAGTAGTCAGTCTTATCAGCGTCACTGAGCCAGTATGCATACTTGTTGTATTGGCTCTCTAATTTATATCCTGGAAGCTTATTATAAACACCAGTTTTTTAAGATTTCTGCATAACTATTGAGACCAATCGAGTCATTCAGAGTGGTTTAATTAGAAATGGTGCATTGTAGACAAATTTACTCTTTTTCTTTTGATTATGGATTAAAAAATATTATTTTAAGTATTGCTGCCAAAGTTAATTGTTAACATGTTAATGTGAAACATTTCTGCAGCCATTAACACGTTTTCCTATTTTCACATTTCGCATCATCTTTAGTTCCACAAAGCTGCTTCAGGTTTGCTGAGCATAAACTAATATGTAAAAACAACCGCAGCGCCATTTAAGGTGAAATAGCAAATTCAAATAAGAAGCCATCTTCAGCCTTTCACCCTGAAGAGCCCGGCTGCTTCTGCACTGTAACTTGACACAGCGGCTGTAGTTTTCTCATCAGCTTTTAAATTGTTAGTTCTCTCGATGAAACCAACATTATTTCCAGCTACTGCAGTGGTGAATTAGTTTATCACAGAAGTGCAGCAAGTCTGAAGTATCATAGACCACTGTAGTAGTGGCATCATTTTGTAGTCGGCGCCAGGCTCTTATGCCCATATTAGGAACTCCAGGTCTAAGCTGGAATTTTCTATGGCCAGAATGAATAGGGTTTTTGAAAAATCGCCTCTATCGCCCCCTGTGTTAATTAAACAGTCTTCTCTCGAATACCGCTGGACCCTCTGAAATACGAGGTCGTTAAACAGTTAAAATATGAATATTGCTATATGTAAGCTAATGCATAACGCGGACTATGGATGACGCACGACTACAGAGGTCTATTTACAAGCAAAGAACCCCACTGATTTTGACAATGTCATTTTTTGACTTTTAGATTAATATTACGTTTTATTTTAAAGGAGCTATAGAAAAAATTATTATTCAGAAATCAGTGTGGTCAAGATATTGGTATTGGAATGAGTATCGAAAAAAAATAGTCCCAACAAAAATGTTTTCTTTTTACAGGAAAATGTAGCTTTTATTAGTTGGAGCTTTTATTAGTTGTAAACAAAATATTTCTTTTTCGTTCCTCAGGTGAAGATTAGCCTTTTAATTGGTCTTAGCGTTATTTAGGGACAATAATCCAGAAATCAATGGAAATGTCCCACTAAGATAGAAATACAAATGTAGGTGTCTATACGAATCATTCTACTAAACTGGTTCAAAGTCAGAGCTGAAACATATTTGGGACTTTTATCTGATTTTAGACTAAAATCCTTTTTTTTGAGTGACACTAAACCTTGATAATGTTTATTTTATTAAAACTGATGATTAAACATTCTATTTTCTTACTTTTCGGTCGTGACAATTTTAAGTCATTTTGAGCAGAACTCAAAAACGCAGCCAGTACATGACTTATAAACACATCTTTGAACAGCTGTTCACACAGAAAATCATCATATTTTACATTAAAACACAAAAAGTACTCCATTGTGGAAAATGTGTGTTTCGGAAGTGACGATTCTTAATGTTCCACACTGATTTTCGAACTTTGGGACACAACAATGGGATCTAACTGCTCACCATGTGGCCATGAGGGACAGGGACGCAGCCTCACTTCCTGCTCTGAAATGCAGGGGTGTGGCTAAAATAAGGCTCCACCTGCAGACTGAAACTCGTGTTTCGGTAGTGACATGAAAAGGTTGGACGGCAAGTTTTGAATTACGTTTTTTATTTTATTTAAAATGAATGAAACTCATGATGAATCTAAATCTGCTTCACTTTAAAATAAATTAAAAAGATGTTTTTTAAAAACAGTATTGATAAGACCCATATTGATAAGACCCATATTGATAAGACCCATATTGATAAGACCCCTGCCAATAGAAAGTGCCCTATAAATGCTGATTGTGTATCTATTTAACTTATCACTATCTGTTAATACCTTGAGTTTAAATAGATCAGAACATGATCTTTGCAAATATCTAAGGTCTGAAAACTTAAATTTTTTTTTGTTCGGTTTTTTTTTTTATTACTTTGCGAGTGCAGTTTGAGCTATTTTGGTGGAGTGGTCCTTTGGTCCTTATATATAAATACCTGTATCTGTTTAGCTGGACAGACAGTT